GCAGGAACCTGCCCTGTGCCCACCAGCCTGTTCTGATCCACCACCTGTTTTACAAGGTACGAGGCGAGTGGCAGAGCTGCCACCATTGGGAAAGCATCACAGGTGGCACTGAGGACACAGGCAGATGCTGCCTGGGAAACACGTGGTGGTATCCTGTGGGGCAAAGCACCCACCCCATGCAGGACATGTGTGGCCCCACGGTCCTCCCTTGGGGCAGTGGGTGAGGCCATGGGAGGAGGCACGCTTTGCTCTGCTGGGGGGTTTCCTCACCTCAGCACAACAGACAAGTCCCAGCTCTGAGCCGCCAGCAACACTGCTATAGCTTGGGGTGAGAGAGGAAAAGCAGGAACATCTGCTGTCTCAGATGAGCCAACTTGGCAAAAACTCTAAGGCCTTAAACATCAGTTTCACAGGCAGAAGACTACATTTGTAGTATGCAAATGTTTCTAAAATCATTTACTGGCTTCAAAATAAAGAGATTTCCTCCCACAACAGATCTGTAACCAAGTTATCTCGGTACAACTAACAAGCAGGAGCACGCAATGTTACAACGCATCTAGCGCAATCCCTGCCAGCACAGGTCAGAGCCTGGACAGATGCTGCTGCAGTCCCAGGGCACCCCAAAGCATTCGAGGCAGAGAGTGGGAAGGTATGTCACTTCAAGCTGCTCTGCTTGTGTACCAGCATTTGGAGACACCCACAGAGCACAGACCTCCACTGCCCAAGCTGCATCTCAGCATCCCAGCCCTTTCCACTGGAGCTGCTGGTGAAACGCTGCGTGCCTTTGCTGCCTGCCCAGGGCCTGGGCATGCTGATAGCTGTCCCCGAGAGAAAAAAAAACATTTCACAGACGGAGAATGGAGGCACAGAGAAATCAAGGCTTAAACTCTCGCAAACATTGAGGTGTTTAGTTCCCCTGGAACACAGACACATTTGAGTACCCCAATGCCTTTTGGTATCTGATGTAAAAGAGAACACTGGGAAAAAACAGTAAGAGACTGAACTAGGGAATCAAACTTTGATCTCTGCACAGTACCTTAACCAGACCTTAAGCCAGTCCTTGCCTTCTGCTCTCTCCTACCCATCAGTGCTGCAAGAGGTGCCTCTCCAGGAGGGGGCTGAGAGATGCCCAGCCTATGCATTAGCCCTGCAGTTTCAGAACAAATTCAACAATTCCCTCTAGTTTGGCATGCTTGAGTTTGGAAACTCAAGTCACATCAAGAAGAAAATACTTTCTTGTTTTATTTGGCAAGGTAGAATGAATCCTCTAATACGAAGCATATTTCCTGCTAGGGAGTGATTGGCTTTTGACACATACATTTCATGTGCTTCGCTCCTGCCAGATTTCCAAGAGAAATAAAGTAGAATAAGTACCTGCCAGGAACGCGAGCAAGACAAAAGCATAAAACGTGTCTCCCACGACCGTCCTTCTTACTAATTACTGCAAATAAGATACTTTTAACAAGGACAGCAAGTATACACCATCAAAGCAACAACAAGAGACCCAACGGTGCTCAGCTTGGTTCAGACTCCTCTTCGCTTGTGCTTTGCCAGGTCCAGAGCAGGAGGAATAAGCCTTTCCATTTTGGCTGCACTGGGTTAGCTACTGAAAAACTCCCTGGGTTGGTCACGGTGTTGGGCTAACAACAGTGCTGCATTCTTCAGCTGCTGTAAACAGGCTGTGCACGCACCATGGGATGTGCTGCTCAAGGCTGCTTCTTGTCTCTGAGCCGGCTGTTTACAGCCAGCATGACACACTTCTGTTTTCCACCCCAGCGATATTAATAGTGCTGTGTATTTTGGTGCAAATTACACCCAAACACCCCTCGTTGTGGCAGTAACCCAGGGAAGAGGGAACAGGATGGAGAGCCAAGCTGGACGAACAGTACAAGGCAGGAGGCCAGCGCAGTGCGGTGCTCCGAGGCACGGCTCTCTGCAGAGGTGCTGCCCGGCAGCTCTGCTGTACCCAACAACGGGGTATCAGTGCTGAACCTCGCCACAAATCCCTGCGTTTAAGTTGCTGCTTCATCGCAGCTGCAAGGAAGACAGCAGCCTACACCTCCCTGAAGCCTTTCAGTCCTTGAAAGGATTTACACACAGCGATGATGCCTGACGATACGCTCTCGGTACCAGCTTCAAATGAAAGCCAGGACTTCCAGTGGGGTTCACTGCACAACCTGGGATGAGCAGCCAGGTCCTGGGAAGCTGCTGTCAACTCTCACCTTCAAACTGTCCTCCATACCCTCCTCATCCTCAGGGCATAATTTGGGACTTGCAGCCAGCCAGAGCCACAGGGGCCGTGCCCTGGGGATGCCGGCCACTCTCAGCAGTGCAACAGGGGAATCACAGGGACCAAGACCTGGCCCCGGGGGAAGCACAGCAGTGTGCTGAGCCTCATCGCCAGCATGAGCAGGAACCCGAGTCCAGCAGCACTGCTGCCTAAAAGCAGAAACATCAGTGGTGAAGAAAGTCAAGCAGTGCAGAAAGGGGGGGGGTGGAGCGGATTTTGGTAACATTTTTCAAAAGATGACCTGTGATAAGAGGCTCCTATTCTAAAAAGAAACCCAGGTGGAAGCTGAACATCCCAGCTTCCCCCGAAAAGGCACTAAGAGCTGTCACTACACATGTTCAGGACTACTCACCTGGAAGCAAGAGCGGAGAAGAGAGATCAGATCTCCCTTACCTGTTCTTTGTAACTTTGGGGAAAAAGGCTAAAAGCCTGTTAAGAGCTACCTTAAAGCTCCAGCCCACCCCAGGGACAGGGAGGTCTCAGAAGGAGCCTAAAGGACCCCATGGGGCCACTTAATAACTAGGGGAGCATCCACCCCAACCGACCAGCTGTTGGGACAACAGAGCCTGAACTTCCAGACGCATCAGGACAGCACGGAGGGGACTGTGATGCTTCTTCCTGCCACTATTGCTGGCTCTAACTCGTCTCTCCTCTACGAGGTTTGCAGTGCTCCCCACCATCTCTTTCTGCAGCTGAGCCAGCCTCGAGGGTCTCTGCTGCCAAACTCTCCAGCCTGACCCAAGCCCCTTTGCTGCCAAGGACAATTAGCAAAAGTTTCCAGTCTTGCCCCTCATTCAACATGTTCTGCACCTTTGCTCCCATAATCCCATCACTTTTTCCTCTGCCCAATCCTCCATCCAGTTTCCTTCTCTATCTTCACACCTCGTTCCTCCAGCCCCGTACAGCTACAGTCTCTCTAGCTTTGCCCAGCTCTCCAAATACTCAAATTCCTCCTTAAAATGCCTTTTCCTTACAGCATCTCAGCAGCAACCCAACCCTCCTTTTCTCCTCCGTTGAAACCAGAGAAAACTGCATCATTACGAGACCAGGCACCAATCCATCCAGCACAAGGGGCGGGCTGATCAGAAACTTAATAGTAAGCTCCGTGACAAGAAATGACAACTGCACACTGCAAGTGCTTATTAAACAAAGCAATCAACATCGATGAGAGCAGAAAATAGATACTATTTTATAATAGATGCTCTAGATACTAGATGGATATAGCCAATTGCTACCCCAAGGGCCATATCCCATCTGAGGTCCACTAGACAGGCAATCTCTGGCAAGCCTCACGCATGTTGGGCGTTAGTCACATCACACCTCTGAACCCAGCAGCTCCTGGGTGAATTCTTCTTTAATTTTTCTTCCTTTTCACAGCTGCAGTGCTATCCTCCACTTCCTTCTGCCTGGCCAAGAGAGTGGGAAGAGAAGAGCTCTCCTTTTCCCCTGCCATGCAGGGAAAGCAGAAGACTCTCTGTAATTCCCTTCCGACAGAGGAGGATAAAGGGGCAGACATCACCCCCTCTCCACCTTTTTATGGGGGCAGGACCCCACTCATAAAACCAGTTCTCACCCTTGTCATTCACTCCAGGCCAGTATGGCACTGGGCTAGAAGGGAAGCTTTATCCACACTGGCTTACTATAAGGAGCAGCACGCCTCTACCAACAGCATCCTCCCACCCTGGAGGGAACAGAGACCCCCTGAAAACTCGACGCAGTGACAGACCCAGTGCCTCCTGTGCAACTCAAGTGTACTTCGCCCCTCAAGGTAACATGGCAAGCAGGCACACGAGCAAGCACCGCCTAACGAACGCCGACGTTGGCAGTGAGTCATCTCAGAGCTGCGCTGGCTTCTTCCTGGCACAAAAAAACATCCCTAATGAAGATCAACACTCAGGCTGCATGCAAGGAGACCCAGTCTGATTAATGCTCGTTATTAGTCCCCGCACAGATCTCTGTCCTGGCTCTGCAGAGGTCAGCAAAGGAAACAGCACAAAGTAAACCAGGGGTCTGGGAATATCCCCCCCCTTCCAATAAGCACCACCATCGCATCCCTTGTAGGAAAGGGCAGGGCAAACTGGAGCCCAGAACACACATCAAGCAGGAAATGACTCCATGGGAGAAGGATCCAGAGTGTTCACTCCTTCTTTCTTGCCCTAATTCAGGCAATAATCCTCCTCCAGCTCTAATGGTTTCCTGTTTTCCAGCTGCTTTGACCCCACTGAGTCACTGCTCATCTCCGGGTCACCTGTATCAGATTTTTATCTGGAGAAGAAGAGGCCAGAGGACCAGCTGCTCCCCAAAAAACATGGTCCTGGTGTGTTCCTGACCACTTGCTTTCTTGAAACATTGATGAGAAAGTTACAGAATAAAGAAAAAAGCAACAGAACAACAAAAAATGGTGCTAACAAAGGTTAAAATTCAGGGTTAATGCTCTAGAAAAAAAGCCTCACAAAAGTATGGACCAGGTCATCACCAAGAGTACAGCAAGGACTTTAGAAACTCCACTAAGCCACTGTGATACAATCGTATCCCTTTGCCTCTGGCGATGCACAATTTCTTGACAGCTTGAATCAAATTTGAGATTTCCCTTAGCTGTGGACATGTAGGGTAGGAAATGTCAAATAGAAGAAAGCAAACACAAGCCATGTTCATATTCATAACTACACAGAAACGCTCCAGTAAGACAGCAGCAGGAGCTCACAGTGGCAGAATAAAATATTATCTGTGTGGCACTGAGGGACTACAACTTACTGCCTGATCTTGTCATTCCTGGGTCCAAATCTTGGTCCAGAAGGCCCTCTCCTGTGAGCAGAAAAGAGAGCAATCAGGATAGAAGACACAGCAAAAACATGTTTATAAACCAGATTCAAGGGATATGCAAGAGAGGATCAACACCTTATGGGCAAAGGATTGCTCTCATACCTCCCATCAGTCCCTCCCATGTTTTAGGATATGTGGGACACCTTGATCTTATAAAGGTCACATCTATTAAGGCGTAATTCACACTTGATGCCAAGGCTGTAGAAGATCATCTCAAAGGAATCAAAGGCTTTGATTGCCAAGCCCCCACCTATGTGGCAGGGAGCAGCTTTTGATATTCAACATCTCCAGTGTCAGAGATGGAAGCAATTAAGACATATCGTTCCCTACAGCGGACGTTCAGGCACTCACAAGAAAAAGTCTTCCTCTTCATCCGAATCTTCCTCCAACAGGTTCCTCTGCAAACAGAAAAAAACCAAACCACCTCCTCAATAAGCCACCACCATTTCACACAGTTTCCAGCCCTCAGGACGCAATCAGCATCCTCCGACTGCATGTTACACGCAAGCCCTCCTTTGGAGAGCATCAACGGTACTTTTTAGGTGTTTGGAGTTGTGCTGTTCCTCCCTGCTCGTGACCACGAGCCAGGCTGGATATCTCTGTGCCACTATTATCACCTCAGAGGTGTCTGCTAGCTCCATACAGCACAGAGCAATGCACAGCCCTGACGTGGGACAACTCGCACCTCTGCCACTGAGCCAAACTGGATTTGCTTCAATGGCCAGTTGCCTGTGCAGGTTCAGATCCCAATTCTAGGGACCTGTACCCTACGACACAGAAGCAACCAGGGGGTCAGAATGTTGAGCAGGGGCAACTGTGGAAGGAAAGCCCTCTCTGCTCAAGGGACAATCCTCAGAGCTGCACTCGGTCAACGACAGCTGCTCAGAAAACATCATCATCACCTACAGCCACCCTGGGGTGTCCCATCCACGGGGGGGGAGTCAGACCCACCCCCAGTTTGGAAGAGGAAGAGATTTCTCCAGCTATCCGATGGCAGCAGGCACAAGAAGGGTGACTGCAAGGAAACACGGTGGGCTCTCCGCATGGCAGGACCAGAAGGGTTGGCCCCTCCAAACCCCCAACTCAGCAAAGGCTACGCCGGGCTGGAAGGCAGAGCGGTCTGGTCGCTCCTCTGCTTCGCGCCAAAGGACTGCTCCTGGGCTCAGATCTGCTGTCCCACTACACCCCCTCGGGTGACCCAAAGGCTGATTTTTAAGAGCAACCCCACAATCCCACCTAAGCCTGAACGTTTTGCACAAAGATGTTACTAGAGCTCGTTTCTTGTATTGGGGCAGCACAAATTTTCCAATCAAGCTGAGGGCTCCCAGGAACATCTACTTAGGGCCAAGAATAATCAAGAGGGGGAAACGCCACGCTACACGTGTGGGTCTAGGAACTCATCGGATGGTCCTCACAGCACCAAGAGCCGCTGCTCCTTCATTCGGGCCCCCACCTGCAAGCGCATCGCCCTTATTCTCCCCTTACCTACACTTCCATCCTCGTCACATTTGCTCCATGGCTTAAGCAACCCACGAGACCACAAAACAGCTTCAGCCGTCGCCTCCCTCGAGCGACAAGACCCCGGTCCCACCGATGGCTATCGCGAGCCCCAGCAGCACTGCAGACCGACCGCAGCCTAACCCGGCTTCTAACACAGCGTGACCCCAG